GCGAGCAGGAATTGCACTGAGGACTTCCCCCCTGTGCAACCCTCGCACAGAGTCCCTGCCACCATCACCCCTGCCAGAGATGGGCCCCCCAGAGCCACCGGGGACGTTCTTCCTGCTCAGCCCCGGTCCCAGGGGTACAAGAAACTGGCTAGCACCCTCAATGGAAGTCTAGGGAACGACTGGAAGGCGCTGCTCTAAACTGTGACGTTGTGCGGCACCGGTAGCGGCCCTTCTCCTTGGGGTCCACCTCGATGCTGAGCCAGGTGTGGTAGGTCCCGTCTGAGTTGGGGACGACACCCCCCGTAAGGGTCTCCGCTGTCCGGTCCTCCCCCTCCTTCGTCCAGGTGACCTCGATCTCTTTGGGGTAGAAGCCGTAGAGCTGGCAGAAGAGGGTCTCCTGGCCCTCGTGGCCCTTCTTGCGTGCCACCCTCGCCAGTGGGGCCTCTGTGGAAACGGCAGCATCACCCCTGTGTTAACACGCTGCATCTCCCAAGATGACAGACTGGAGAATGGCTCTGAAGGGACCCCATGGGGTCATCCAGTCCCATCCCAGTTCAGATGTATTCAACTTGCAGCATCTCCAAGGGGTGAAACACTCCACCTATTAAACCAGAGACAGTTCACCTTGCAATGATCTCATAATTACCTGTTTCAAGTGGTAAAGAACCAATCATTAATTTTCTGATATAACTAAAACTAACCTGGAACTAAAATGAAACCTTCATCTGGGTTGTAAGTATTAAGGCCAGCAAGAATGAGCCTTTATGCAGAAAACCATGACTTAAAATCAATTTGATCTAAATCAAATCCACCCTGTTTTAGAGCTGTCTGTCTGAATGGGAAAGGCACACTGCCCGTGCCCAGGCACCTTCATCCTGAACTGCCATTTTTGACATCAACAAGCAACAAATTTTAAGGGGAGGATGGAAGAGAGTAGAAGGCATATATACACAGTCCCTCGAGATTTTTTGCACACAGGGAACCCTCCCCCCCTCAAAACACCCCTCCCCCGCATGACCATCAAATGACAGATCAATTTGGCATCCTCAGACTATATCCTAGAAATCATGGCTCTAATACTCCATGCAGCTGGGGTGCAGGGATCCTCATGGGGTTTTTTTTGCATGCAGTCCTCCAAGATCTATTGCCAAAGAATACAAAGAATACACACATGCCCACAGTTTACACCTGAAAAATCATGGGTCTAATGCTTCATGAGAGCCAGTTTGGTGTAGTGGTTAAGTGCACGGACTCTAATCTGGGAGAACCGGGTTTGATTCCCCACTCCTCCACTTGCACCTGGCTGGATGACCTTGGGCAAGCCGTAGTTCTGGTAAGAGCTGCTCTTGAAAAAGAGCAGTTTCTGTCAAGAGCTCTCTCAGCCCCACCCACCTCACAGGGTGTCTGTTGTGGGGAGGGGGAGGGAAAGGAGTTTGTAAGCCGGTCTGAGACACCTTTGGGTTGTGAAGGGCAGGTTATAAATCCAATCTCTTCTTCTCTTCTTCTTCATGGTGCAAATGCCACATGGTGCAAAAACAAAGATTCAAAGGCTCATCAATCCTCATGGTTTTTATAAGGGATCATCTGAAATAAACTTCAGAACGATAGATCAAATCCATATCCAAAAAGTGTTGGGGGGGGGGGAGAGAAATGTAGATTTGTCCAGGGCACGAATTTGTCCAAGGCACGAATCCTCCTGAATCTTCACAATTTTTACACAAGGTCCCCCCGCAAAACTCATCACCAGATTCCATACCACATCCACAGAGTGCAGCGCAATAAGCACGGATACAGCACTCTGGGCCAAAACCACAGAAAAGATTTCCAGAGCTTTCTTAATAGACTAGGAGCGCCCCTCCTCCCTCTGGCGCTTGCCCGCCAAAACGCTCACATGACCAGGAGGAGGGGAGCTACTCCCTCAGTTCTCTTTTTGCAGCCGGGAGAGACGATCTCCACGGCTGTTCTTTGTGTTTTTTTCCTCACCTCAGTTTTGAGGCTGAGGAGACTTTTTTCTCTTAACAATCTAATAAATCTAAAGAAGAAACGCTTTGTGGATTCCCACTGTGTCATTATGACCACACAGCCCAAAAAGCATGGATTCAAGTCACGGATCCTCCTGAATTCTTATTTTATTTATTTTTTTACTTTATTAGATTTTTACCCCGCCCTCCCAGCAAAACATTAAACAACAACTATTTACTTTAGGGAACCTTTATGTTCCAAACTCTGACCAAAGGGGCCTTTTTTGAAACATGTTTTTAATATGTTTCTGTACCAGTGACGCAATTGATGGGTGCTGACAAAGATGTATGAACTTGCAGCTGGTTTTGGTGGGGTCTCGGTAAAAACCACGGGGATCTTGGATCCTAGTTCTTGCCTCAGTGAGGGCACCTAAAAGCCCCTGCACCTGCTTTCCGAGGTTCAGCGTGTGGCCATAACAGCTGCTGTGAGGGATTTGTGGACGTTGGGGGACTCTGTGTAAAAAACTGCGATCATCCAAGACTCCATGGCTTTGACGGTGGCTCCTGTGTGGACAAGGGTGTGAACTGCAATTGTGCCAGTGGTGGTGTGCCACCTCCATGTAAAAATTACATGAATGTTGGGAAGGCCTGCTGCTCTCAACCAGTGTTCCCTCTAAGCTGAGTTAGTGTGAGCTAGCTCACAGCTTCTTTAGCCTCCGGCTCACGCATTTTTGTCTCATTCAGGAAGGAGGGCTCTAGAGCAAACTAATTGATGCAGCAGCCAAATGGCTCGCACACAACTTTAATGCCAGGAGCTCACAAAGTAGAATTTTGGCTCACATGACGCCACAGCTCAGAGGGAGCATTGCTCTCAACACCCGCCCCCCATACATTTCCAGCTAATCCCCACCCCACCCAGCCACCCCCAGATGGGTCAGCCCCTTGGCCTGCCAGGGATGGGGCAGGGAGAGTCGGGCAAAGGAAAAGGAGGTGATGCATCCCAACCAAGGAGCGAGGCATTAGTTGTCACAGAGAGGGAGAAACACCTGCATTCTCCTTTCCCACGCCCCAATAAAGACTCTTCCACGCCCTCTTGAGGTGGGGGGTGGATGCAGAAGGAAGCGGCATAGTCTGGGCTGGATGGGGGAGCAGGACTGTACCGCTTTTGCTGGGGAGGGGAGAAGCAGCCTGGTCTTTAAGTGCTCAGCCCGCCCGCCCCTTAAGATATCCAGGGAAACAGAAGGGGGAGGGGGAGAGCTGTTGGGTATTTGCATGTTGGAAAACACTCAATGTGTGTGTATAGGGTTAAATGTCTGTTTTGTTGTTACAGGAAGTCACCTGCCTTTGTGTTAGCCAATGTTAGCTTAGAGCTGCAAGCCCGTGAAAAGCATCCCTGTTCTGAGAGTTTGATTGGAAGCAAAGTGTTAGTGTCTTTGCATTTTATGGCCTCTCTTCCCCTCTTTGTTCGTCTTGGAGAAGAAGCATGTTACAGAGGCCATTACAGTTCTTCTAGTCTAGAGAGAGGATGTAGCAAATATAGCTGTCTGTTATTTTCTTCCCAGTTACCCTTCCCTATGGTAGAATTGTAGTAAACTTTTATATTTTTAAACACACATGGACTCTGGGTCTGATTATTGAACTCTGGCATCACTAAGCTGTTTTTTTTTTAAACTCTGCTGAATTTTATAAAATACCCCAACAAGAGCCCAGTCAGTCTCCCAAAGCTGCAGAAGATCTTTGGACAGGCAAAGTGCCCCTCCCTAGGACCCCCCTTCCCTCCCTTGGCCCCCCCCCCCCCCCGTGCGCTGGGGCTCCTCCTCACCTGTCCTTAGTAGAGTCTTGTTGCCGTAGCCCAGGTACCTCCGCAGCCACTCCACGCATTCCTCCTCCATGTAGTCCTTCGCGCGATGGGCATAATGGGTCTCGCCCTCCCACCTCTCCTTGATCTCCTGGGCCTGGGGCACGCGGGCCATCCAGGTGAGGGTCTCCCTGTCGAGGGTGAGGAAGTCCTCCCCGTCATAGGCGTACTGCTCATGTCCCCCACGGAGCCGCCCATCTGGCCCCACCTCGCAGTCATGCATGAGCTGCCAGGTGTGGAGCCCTGTGTGCAAGAGAGACATGCGGGAGGTAAGGGCGGGGGGTGTGTGAGGGGGGCGGGAGAGGCTGCAGAAAGGCAAGCGCGACCGCCTCTTCCCTCTGTCACTCTCTGCCTCCCCTCCCACTCTCCAAGGGGGCTACCCCCAAAGGAGGAGGTTCGCCTCTTCCCCCACCCCACCCCATCACAGGGACCTGCTTCCCTGAAGGAGAAACCATTTGTGGAGAGGCCAGCTTCTCAGCAGCAGGGGGGTGGGGGTGGGAGGAACATAAGTCTCTTCCGCATTGATTGTGGTTTCTACACACTTTGGGGGGTATTAACTAGGATGAGAAAGGATTTTGGTGAGGTGTTATTCACTTGGACCTTGTTTAGGAAGGAGACGCCCACTCCCGCCCCACCATTGGGGTCCCTTCCAGTGGAGTCCCCTGAATGGTGGGGGGCCCCCTCTCTTTCTCTCCCTGGCCCCAAAGGGATGCTTCTCTCTCCCACGGCAACACAGAGCAAACTCCAGGAGGGGCTTCAGAAATCCACCACCACCCCTTTCCTGGCAGCACCTCTTCGAGGGAGAAATCAGGGAAGAGTCCCATTTCCTGTGTGTGTGTGTGGGGGGGAGAAATAGCCTCGGGCGGGAGGATTCCTGCCCTGACAGATAACATTGCCATTCTCAGCCCCATAGACAAGAATTGAAAAAAAAAACCTTGGCCTGGAGGGGAGAGGACTAGTGCTAGGAAATATTGAAGGCCCCCAGTGCTCATTCCAGGCTGTGGGAAACAACCCTCCCCAGGGAAGGGACCCGCCCCCGTAGCTAGGGACTTTTTTGGGAGGGGAGACCCACACATGCTGGCTGGCTCTAGCAGTGTGCTGATTTCCCTAGATTTTCTATTTCTCCCCATTCATTCTTCGTTGGAACTGACAAGCTCCAGGACAGATGAGTATCAACCGTCACCTACCTCCCCGCTAAGTAAAAGTGACTATTTTTAATACTGTATTTCTGTGGAACTTGATTGAATGTGTGTGCGCATCAGTATTGTTTGTATGTGATCTATTTTCTTAAGTAAAAAAAACAGTTATTTTAACCACACCAGCCTCGACCTCCTTCTCTGGTACTTTGGGTGGGAACTGGACCTTGGTAGACATTGGCAAGAACCCATCTAAAATTTGCCAACTGCTGTAGATCAAGCAGTTTGGCTAACCGGTAATTGTTTTTTTGGGAGGGGAGGCCATGGGGGGGGGGGGGGGGGGCAGCTAATGTAATCAAAAGTTCCAGGTAGTGCTCCGGCAGCGGCAGCAGGCCACACACTCTCTCAAAGCCCTGTCATTGTTGGGGGGGGGGAGAAAGCATAACAGAGATTGTCCTTACTTTAATAAGGGGAGGGACTGAAAAGAAGAAGAGGAGGAGGAGGAGGAGTTCATGGTATTTCTAGTACAGCCCCCCTTCAGAACAACAGCCCTGCAGAGAGGTCTGTGGGGGGGGCTGTAGTCATGATCCCAGGGCTTGGTTGGAGGACATGGGAACAAGGACCCCTGCTGCAGCTGAGTGGGGTGGGACTGGGGGATGCCAAAAAAAAAGGCCTTGGGGGAGGGGGTCAGAAGGTGGGCACCCTGAGCTCTGGGAGGAAGGAAGGCAGGCAGGGCCCAAGAGCAATGTGGGGAGGGGATGTTGGGGAGGGTCTGAACCAGCAAAAACAGAGCCCCTCCCTCTGCTGCCCCTTCTCTGTCCCCCACCCCCCACGCCTGCAAACTGAGCCCAGAGGGAGGGCGCCTCCAGCCCAGGAAGAGACCCAGCCCCCCTGGGAAATTGTGAGGAAATAGTGTATGATGGGCAGAGTAGAGTGTGGGGAAGAGACCTGGCCCCACCGTTGACCAAACACTGTCATTTCCTTCTCCCAGGAAATGGTGAGGGGGTGGTGTCAGGCTTCTGGGGGGGGGACAACTGCTGTCTACTGGATCTGCTACCCCTACAGAATTGGCATTTTTCCCATCTGGAACTGGGCGGCGTCACTACCAGCCCCTCTCCCCCCCCCCGTGGGGGCTGCTATCAAAGGTTGGGGAGGGCACCTTTGATTCCATCCCCCAAAGTAGCGCTGAGGCAGGCCCCTCTTTTGCCCCTGGGGATACGGGATGGGGGGGCTGTCACCTTAAGGGGGGGGACACATGAATTTCTGAAGTAAAAAAGGAGCTCCTCTCCAGGGAGAAGCAGCCCCCCCCCCAAAGTCCTCCTTTCTTCCATCAGGCAGCAACCCCCCCCACTAATGTTCCCTCTAAGCTGTGGAGTCTTGTGAGCAAAAATTCTACCTTGTGAGCAACTGGTACTAAAGTTGTGAGCGAGCGATTTGGCTGCTGCGTAAATTAGTTTGCTCTGGAGCCATTCTTCTTGAGCTAAGACAAAAATGTGTGAGCCAGAGGCTAAAAAACTGTGAGCTAGCTCACGCTAACTCAGCTTAGAGGGAACACTGCCCCCCACGGATTATAGGAGAAATGGGGATTGCCCAACCCCCTTCCTTTCCCCTCCCCCTCCTCTAGTTGTGAGGATTCCACAGCCCCCCCCCCCAAAAAAAAACAGACTCCAAACTGCAGGATATGGGAACTTTGCTTTTCTGGATTCACCTCTCCTGTGGGGGGGAGTGGTGCCCACCAGGACAGCTAACATGCCTTTAATCTTCCCCTCTGGGGCCAAGGGGAGGCACATTCGCCCCACCCCTCCATTTGCTCTACTTGGGGAGGGGGGCTGCTGCTTCTCCCTCCTTCCCCCTTCCTCCTGAGGCGCGGCCCCTCCCCCTTCTCTTGCCATGGGAAGGGCAGGGGGGAGGTGCTGTGGCTGGCCCCTCCCCCCTCCCCTCACCTGTGCTGTTCTGCTGGTTGTAGCGCTCCCGCAGCATCTCCAGGTCCACTCTGAAGACAGACTCCGCACCTTGTGAGAAACGGGTGTTCCTCTCCCAGTACTGGGGGTCCTCCTCCAGGACCGCTTCCATCCAGGGGACCAGGGGCACACCCCTCCTCGTGATGCTGTCATACTTGACGAAGGGCTGGTCGTCCACGTAGCCCACGATGCTGAACTGGGGCAGCCCCGGGCTGGGCTCAGACACTGCCGTGTGGAAGTAGCACAGGGAGTGGGGGGAGGAGGAGGAGCCGCCTGGAGTGGGGGGAGAGAGACAAAGAGAAAGAGGGAGGCAGAGTTAAGGGGACTGCCACTGAGGAAGGGAGGTGGTCGTTCCGCTCCATTCTGCTATGGTCAGGCCTCACCTGGAGTACGGTGTCCAGTTTTGGGCACCACATTTTAGGAAGGATGTTGACAAGCTCGAGCGTGTCCAGAAGAGGGCAACCAGGATGGTGAGAGGGCTGGAATCCAAGTCTTAGGAGGAAAGGCTGAAAGAGTTGGGCCTGTTTAGCCTGGGAAAGAGAAGGCTTAGAGGGGACATGATTGCAGTCTTCAAGTATCTGAAGGGCTGTCATGTAGAAGATGGAGCAGATCTGTTCTCTCTTGCTCTGGATTGCAAGACTAGATCTAATGGGTGGGAATTACAAGGGAGTCGATACCGGCTAAATATCAGGAGAAACTTCTGGACTTTAAGAGTGGTTGAGCAGTGGAACAGTCTGCCTAGGGAGGTTGTGGATGCTCCTTCGCTGGACGTTTTCAAGCGGAGGCTGGATGACCATATTTTGGGTATGTGGTAGGTATGTAGGGCTGTCTTTCAGCTATGCTCCTGCAGAGTGCAGGGGGTTGGACTAGATGACCTGCAAGGTCCCTTCCAACTCTAACATTCTATGATTCTAAGGGCACCCCGAGACCCCACCCCATCCCACCCCTGTAGAGACTCAGGGGATGAAAGAGGAGAGAAAAACAAAATGGGGGCAAGGGACCCTGAGGAATCGGGAGAGGGGAGCTAACAGCCAGAGGAGAGACAGGAGAGGAAAGAGAAGTGGTGGGGACAATGAAGGAAGGGGACCAGATGCAGCTTAGGGTCGCCAACGTACAGGTGGGACCCGGACATCTCCCAGAAGCTCTTTTCTCCACACATCAGAGACATCAGTTCCCCTGGAGAAAATGGCTCCTGGGGAGGGTGGGGTGTAATGATTTCAAGTTATATGTGTGTGTTTCTTTAAATGGTTGGTAAGTGTCAAGAAGGAGCTGCGGTGGCTCAAGTGGTTAAGACGCTGAACTGCAGGCTGTGGAAGGTCGGTAGTTCAGCAGTTCGAGACCCGAGTTGCCGCATGACGGAGTGAGCTCCCGTCTCTAGTTCCAGCTCCTGCCAACCGAGCAGTTCGAAAGCAAGAAACTGCAAGTAGATAAATAGGTACCACTTCGGTGGGAAGGTAACAGCGTTCCGTGCACCTTGGTGTTTAGTCATGCCGGCCACATGACCACGGAAACGTCTTCGGACAGCGCTGGCTCTTCGGCTTTGAAACGGAGATGAGCACCGCAACCCTAGAGTCGGATTCGACTGGCTTTTGAGCAAGGGAACCTTTACCTTAAGTGTCAAGAACAACGGGGGGGGGGGGAACGACAGAGGGAGATGAGTGAATGAGGTGATTGGCTGGGGACTGAGAGTGTGTGGGCGGAGCTAGGAAGTGTGTATGTGTGTGTGGAGAGAGAGAGAAGGCCGAGGGAGGGTTCCGTCAGCCGTGGAAGCAGTCTTCTCATTAGAATCCTATAGAAGTGCTGTGGAAGGCATTAAGATTCTAAAGGAGGAAGAACTTCTACTTCAGGGGGCACATTAGGCAAAATCTAATATTGTCGGAGTATTATAAGAGTGGGGGGGGGGGGGGGTGGAAGAGAAAAGAGTAAAAAGGGAAAGATTTTACTGAGCAACTTAACGAAACATCTTGTAACCAATATGCTTCTTTCACCAATAAAGTTTTATCTTGTTTATGGTTAACCCAGAGTCATATGCTATTGCTCTTTTTGTAGCAAGAACTCCTTTGCATATTAGGCGACACACCCCTAATGTAGCCAATCTTCCAAGAGTTTACAGAGCTCTTCTGTAAGCTCTTGGAGGATTGGCTACATTAGGGGGGCGTCGCCTAATATGCAAAGGAGTTCCTGCTACAAAAAGAGCCCTCATCCTTCAGAATCACATAGTCCCACAAAGGAACCTTAGAGTTTGGGCACAATACTGTGGGAAAGGTTCATTAAAGGCTGGGATTATATTCCTAGTGGCAGCATTGCATACATTGAGTGAGAGAAAGAAACAAGAAATTTAAGACCACCTCATAATAAAAGAGAGGCACTGTGACACATGTTGGCTCAGCGGTGGGATATAAAACATTCTTAGGATGGAAGGGGAAAAGACTCAAGGGATATAAAACTTTCTGAGGTGAAGGGCTTGCCCCAAAGAATAGAAAATCCTGGGAGGAAAGAAAACTCTGAAAGATCGCTGAGGAGATTTCATGTTCAATTGAATTCTATGAGGGAAACAGAATCGTTATAAAGGGGAGAGACCTAAAGAAACTAGCAGAATTCTAACAGAAAACATAATCTCGTGAATTGTAGAGCAGAATACAAAGGAGAGAGAAAAATGGCAGAGTTTCTAGGAATGAAGAAGGAGGCTCAGAAGCACAAAGAATTAAATTTACCTCAAGAGGCAAAAAGTGTAGAACTGAGAGTTATTCCTATACAAAGTAGTGTGGAGTCTAGTAGAACTACTGCTGAGAGAAACCGAGGGGATGTATAATCCCCAGTCCAAAACATTTGGAGTTTCTGAGAGAAAAGTGAAAATAAAGAAATGGAAAAGTGGAAAATTGAAGCAGAACTTAGAACTAGAGAAATTAATCTCAGAGCTCAAGAGATGGAAAGACAAGCCCCATTGGAAGCAGAAAGGTTACAATTAGAAAGAGAGAGACTTAAGAATGGAGATAAAAAGGAGGGAAACCCTGAACCCGGAGCTGATTTTCCTCGGGTTGCCCCCAAAGAGTTCATGGTGTATGTGTCAGGAGAGGCTCCACAAACCTTCCTGTCAACTTTTGAAAGGACTGCTCAGAACTGGGCAATACCAAACACACAATATATGAAGTATTTACCCAGTTTATTTAGAGGGAAATTGGCTGAAATCTATATCTATAACACATTTCCCTCAGATAGCCTGTTTTCTATGCTGAACATAAAGAGGCAGTATATGACAGATTCAGATTAGGTGCTGATTACTTCAGAAAGAAGTTTAGAAGCCTAGTACCACAGCTCCGGTTGCTCAAGTGGTTAAGACGCTGAACTGCAGGCTGTGGAAGGTCGGTAGTTCAGCAGTTCGAGACCCGAGTGCGCCGCATGACAGAGTGAGCTCCCGTCTCTAGTTCCAGCTCCTGCCAACCTAGCAGTTCGAAAGCAAGAAATTGCAAGTAAATAGGGACCACTTCGGTGGGAAGGGAACAGCGTTCCGTGCACCTTGGTGTTTAGTCATGCCGGCCACATGACCACGGAAACGTCTTCGGACAGCGCTGGCTCTTCGGCTTTGAAACGGAGATGAGCACCGCAACGACTGGCTTTCGAGCAAGGGAACCTTTACCTTTTTACCACAGAAGGAGAAGTCATTTAAGTTGCTTAGTGCCAAACTAACAGACTATTTTGATAAGTGGATGTCATCTGCCAAAGGTAACTCTAAAGGGTGAATAAGGGATCTAATGATCTTGGATCAATGTTTATTTCAACTTCCCTTACCTTTCTGGTAAAAGATAAGTTTCCAAACAGGCAGCAGATTGGGCTGATGTTAATATTTAATAGAGGTTCTTGGGACCACCGGGAAAAGAAAGACTTTCCTTATAAACCATCAGGCCACTCAGACGGCCCAGGGAAACCCCCCTGGCCACAGCCCCCCACCCCCACCCCTGCTCCCCGGCATGCATCAGTCAGAGCCCTTCCCAGACGACCCCCTCGGCGACCCTGGCTCTCAGCCAGCCACGGAGCCTCACCTGTCCTTCCATGCGCCCGACCCTATTTGCAACCCACCTCACCTTGTGGCCGCCACTGCCGCTTCATGCGGCAGGGAGTTCCACAAGTCAGGCAAACCCCAGGACAGTCTGCAACGACCTCCCCCAACCGCTTCCCCGGGCTGACCCCAGAGTCCTGGTGTTCCCAGGCAGGGGGGAAAGTTTCTGCCCGTTTTCTATCCCGCGTTTTCATAAGCTTTTATAAAACTCTATCTACCCCATCACCGTGGAGCTGCGGTGGCTCAAGTGGTTAAGACGCTGAACTGCAGGCTGTGGAAGGTTGGTAGTTCAGCAGTTCGAGATCCGAGTTGCCGCATGCATGACGGACCTCCCGTCTCTAGTTCCAGCTCCTGCCAACCTAGCAGTTTGAAAGCAAGAAATTGCAAGTAGATGAATAGGTACCACTTCGGTGGGAAGGGAACAGCGTTCCATGCGCCTTGGTGTTTAGTCATGCCGGCCACATCTTCGGACAGCGCTGGCTCTTCGGCTTGGAAACGGAGATGAGCACCGCAACCTTTACCTTTTACCCCACCCCCACCCCCGGAGTTGTTGTTTCCCTCCTAAACCAAACCCTTCACACACACGCACACACCCCGCCAGATCCTGTGGAACCTTTACCTTTTACCCCACCCCCACCCCCGGAATTGTTGTTTCCCTCCTAAACCAAACCCTTCACACACATGCACACACCCCGCCAGATCCTGTGGAAAGAGCAACACACCGCCCCCAGCAGAGAAGAAGAAGAGGAGACTGGATTTATACCCCGCCCTTCACTCGGCATCTCAGAGCGGCTGACAAACTCCTTCCCCTTCCCCTCCCCACAACAGACACCCTGTGAGGTGGGCGGGGCTGAGAGAGCTCTGACAGAAACTGCTCTTTTTCAAGAACAGCTCTTATCAGAACTACGCTGGCCCAAGGCCAGGTGCAAGTGGAGGAGTGGGGGAATCAAACCCGGTTCTCCCAGATTAGAGTCTGCATTAACCACTACACCAAACTGGTGACCTCCTGCCCCCCGTAACCTACACAGAGCTGCTCAGGTGATGCATTTGGGGGGAGGGAGCACCATTTAGGGCACTCCCACTCCCCTCCTGCTGCGGCCAGACTTTTCCCAGCTAGCCCCCCGCCCCAAAGTGCTTCCAAACACGCGAGCTGAAGGGAAGGGAGTCCGCGAAGAGGTCGAGATGGGGAAAAGCAAAGATTCTCTTCAAACCCCACCCCCCACCCCCCGTTTTTTGAGCCAAGGGAACGCATTTCACAGCGAC